ACTAGGTGTGGATTCTAGGTATGACTAAGCAACCTATATGTGTGACTTTAGAAGAGTGGTTTAATTTCTTGGAGCCTAAATATCCTTATTTGTCCAACTATAGAAAAGATTAGCTTAAATATATTGATAAATATATAAATATCAAAACATTATTTAAAGATATAAATACCTTATTATCAATTAAAATGAGATAATAGAAATCAAAGTATTTATAACCATAGTAGTAAATGATACTTTAGTGTATTAACACAATGTCTTTTATGCTTTTGGTAATTTCCTTTTGCCCCATAGCCTTTTCCCCAGCCAATTTATCACTACATGCAGGATGGAATTCCACCCTAAAAAATCAGAAGAGAAAATGATTCTGCGGGAGGCACCACACCACAGCCAGAGGCGGCTGCAGCTGCTGCCCTCTTCCCTGCTGCCAACTCTCTGGTCCCTTCTGTGATTACCTCTCCAGTTGCTGGGAATGGGCGAGGAGGGGAGGAGGGTGAGAAACTCCCACCGACCCAAAGAAGTCCCCAAACTCCACGAGGACAGGAGCTCCTTTGTTCAGGACCCCGCCTTATGTGTCTTTTCATCTGGCTGTTGGAAAACAGCTGTCAGGCAAGGAGTCTCCTCCATTCTGCCTTATTGTAATTAACCAAAAATCTATTTCATGCAAGCCATCTAAAGACCAGAATCAAATTGTTCCTGGACCAGCATTTGTATCCGGAGTTCAATTCAATTGGCACTGCTTTAGTTGTTAATTTCCATCACAGCTCTACATAATTGCCTTTCTCAGACTTCAGTTCATGATTCCTGGGAGAGCTGTGAAAAAAAGAGAACGTTGTTTTCATATTTACTGCTAATAAAGAAAATTAAGAATATGAATACTTTCTGGTTGGCCTCTCAATATTTTGAGTTTATGAGTTTGAAAACAGAGTCAGGTTAAAGATGTGTTGGGACTTCAGCAGTGCCCCTTGGGTTATTAAGAATTCATCTGATGGAGCATGATGCAGTGAGGCCGGTTCCACAGAGGCACACAAAGCCAGATCACACAGGCCAGAACACCTGCTGCTCAGATGTTATAGGGAAGGACCTTCAAGATGGTGGAGGAGTAAGATGTGGAGATCAACTTCCTCCCCACAAATACATCAAAAATACATATATATGTGGAAAATTACAGAACATCTACTGAACACTGAAAGAAGCCCTGAGACTTCCCAGAAGGCAAGAAACTCCCCACGTACCTGGCCGTGTGGCTGACAGGGTCTTGGTGCTCCAACCAGGGGTCAGGCCTGAGGCTCTGAGGTGGGAGAGCTGAGTTCAAGACATTGGACCACCAGAGACCTCCCGGCCCCATGTAATATCAATCAGCGAAAGCTCTCCCAGATATCTCCATCTCAAAGTTAAGACCTAACTCCACTCAACATTGGAGTTGGAAAGAACCCATAAGGTTAACAGCTGATCTTTAAGCAGAAACTCTGTAAGCCAGAGGGGAGTGGCTGGACATATTAAAAGTGATGCAAGCGAAAAACCTACAACCAAGATTACTCTACCCAGCAAGGATCTTATTCAGATTTGAAAGATAAATTAAAACATTTACAGACAAGCAAAAGTTAAGAGAATTCGGCACCACCAAACCAGCTTTACAACAAATGCTAAAGGAACTTCTCTAGGTAGGAAACACAAAAGAAGGAAAAGACCTACAAAAACAAACCCAAACAATTAAGAAAATGGTAATAGGAGCGTAGATATTGATAATTACCTTAACTGTAAATTGATTAAATACTCCAACCAAAAGACATAGACTGGCTGAATGGATACAAAAACAAGACCCATATATATATATATATATATATATATGCTATCTACAAGAGACGCACTTCAGACCTAGGGGCACATACAGACTGAAAGTGAGGGGACGGAAAAAGATACTCCATGCAAATTGAAATCAAAAGAAAGCTGGAGAGCCAGTTCTCATATCAAACAAAATAGACTAAAAGAAAGACTATTACAAGAGGCAAAGAAGGACATTACATAATGATCATGGGATCAATCCAAGAAAATATAACTATTGTAAATATTTATGCATACAACATAGGAGCACCTCAATACATAAGGCAAATGCTAACAGCCATAAAAGGGGAAATCAACAGTAACACAATAATAGTAGGGGATTTTAACACCCCATTTTCACCAATGGACAGATCATCAAAAATGAAAATACATAAGGAAACACAAGCATTAAATGACACATTAAACAAGATGGACTTAATTGATATTTATAGGACATTCCATACAAAAAAAACAGAATACACATCCTTCGCAAGTGCTCATGGAACATTCTCCAGGATAGATCATATCTTGGGTCACAAATCAAGCCGTGGTAAATTAAAGAAAATTGAAATCATATCAAGTATCTTTTCTGACCAGAGCGCTACAATACTAGATATCAATTACAGGAAAAAAAAACTGTAAAAAATACAAACACATGGAGGCTAAACAATACACTATGGAATAACCAAGAGATCACTGAAGAAATCAAAGAGGAAATTAAAAAATACCTAGAAACAAATGACAATGAAAACACAACAACCCAAAACCTATGGGATGCAACAAAAGCAGTTCTAAGAGGGAAGTTTACAGCAATACAATTTTACCTCAAAAAACAAGAAACATCTCAAATAAAAAACCTAACCTTACACCTAAAGCAATTAGAGAAAGAAAGACAAAAACACCCCAAAGTTAGCAGAAGGAAAGAAATCATAAAGATCAGATCAGAAATAAATGAAAAAGAAATGAAGGAAATGATAGCAAAGATCAATAAAACTAAAAGCTGGTTCTTTGAGAAGATAAACAAAATTGATAAACCATTAGCCAGACTCATCAAGCAAAAAGGGAAAAGACTCAAATCAATAGAATTAGAAATGAAAAGGAGAAGTAACAACTGACACTGCAGAAATACAAAGGATCACGAGAGATTACTGCAAGAAACTGTATGCCATTAAAATGGACAACCTGGGAGAAATGGACAAATTCTTAGAAAAGCAGAACCGTCTGAGACTGAACCAAGAAGAAATAGGAAATATAAACAGACCAATCAGAAGCACTGAAACTGAAACTGTGATTAAAAATCTTCCAACAAAAACAGCCAGGACCAGATGGCTTCACAGGCGATTTCTATCAAACATTAGAGAAGAGCTAACACCTATCTCTCTCAAACTCTTCCAAATATAGCAGAGGGAGGAACACTCCCAAACTGATTCTACGAGGCCACCATCACCCTGATACAAAAACCAGACAAAGATGTCACAAAAAAAGAAAACTACAGGCCAATATCACTGATTAATATAGATGCAAAAATCCTCAACAAAATACTAGCAAACAGAATCCAACAGCACATTAAAAGGATCATACACCATGATCAAGCAATGCAAGGATTCTTAAATATACACAAATCAATCCATGTGATAAACCATATTAAAAAATGAAGGAGAAACACCATATGATCATCTCAATGGATGCAGAAAAAGCTTTTGACAAAATTCAACACAAATTTATGATAAAAACCCTCCAGAAAGTGGGCATAGAGGGAACTTACCTCAACATAATAAAGACCATATATGACAAACCCACAGCCAACATTGTTCTCAGTGGTGAAAACTGAAACCATTTCCACTAAGATCAGGAACAAGACAAGGTTGCCCACTCTCACCACTATTACTCAACATAGTTTTGGAAGTTTTAGCCACAAGTATCAGAGAAGAAAAAGGAATAAAAGGAATCCAAATTGGAAAAGAAGAAGTAAAACTGTCTCTGTTTGCAGATGACATGATACTATACATAGAGAATCCTAAAGATGCTACCAGAAAGCTACTAGAGCTAATCAATGAATTTGGTAAAGTAGCAGGTTACAAAATTAATGCACAGAAACCTCGTGCAGTTGTATATGATAATGATGAAAATTCTGAAAGAGAAATGAAGGAAACACTCCGATTTACCATTACAACAAAAAGATTAAACACCCAGGAATAAACCTACCTAAGGAGACAAAAGACCTGTATGCAGAAAACTATAAGACACTGATGAAAGAAATTAAAGATGATACAAACAGATGGAGAGATATACCATGTTCTTGGATTGGAAGAATCAACATTGTGAATATGACTATACTGCCCAAAGCAATCTACAATTCCAGTGCAATCCCTATCAAACTACAAATGGCATTTTTCACAGAACTAGAACAAAAAATTTCACAGCTTGTATGGAAACACAAAAGACCCCGAATAGCCAAAGCAATCTTGAGAAAGAAATTGGAGCTATAGGAATCAGGCTCCCTGGCTTCAGACTATACTACAAAGCTACAGTAATCAAGACAATATGGTACTGGCACAAAAACAGAAACATAGATCAATGGAACAGGATAGAAAGCCCAGAGTTAAACCCATGCAATATGGTCACCTTATCTTTGATAAAGGATGCAAGAATATACAATGGAGAAAAGACAGCCTCTTCAGTAAGTGGTGCTGGGAAAACTGGACAGCTACATGTAAAAGAATGAAATTAGAACACTCCCTAACACCATACACAATAGTAAACTCAAAATGGATTAAAGACCTAAATGTAAGGCCAGACACTATCAAACTCTTAGAGGAAAACATAGGCAGAACACTCTATGACATAAATCACAGGAAGATCCTTTTTGACCCACCTCCTAGAGAAATGGAAATAAAAACAAAAATAAACAAATGGGACCTAATGAAACTTAAAAGCTTTTGCACAGCAAAGGAAACCATAAACAAGACCAAAAGACAACCCTCAGAATGGGAGAAAATATTTGCAAACGAAGCAACTGACAAAAGGTTAATCTCCAAAATATACAAGTAGCTCATGCAGCTCAATATCAAAAAAACAGACAATCCAATCCAAAAATGTACAGAAGACCTCAATGGACATTTCTCCAAGGAAGATATACAGATTGCCAACAAACACATGAATGGCTGCTCAACATCACTAATCATTAGAGAAATGCAAATCAAAAGTACAATCCTCACACTGGTCAGAATGGCCATCATTAAAAAATCTACAAACACTAAATGCTAGAGGAGATGTGGAGCAAAGGGAGCCCTCTTCCACTGTTCGTGGGAATGTATATTGATACAGCCACTATGGAGAACAGTATGGAGGTTCCTTAAAAAACTGAAAATAGAACTACCATATGACAAAGCAATCCCACTGCTGGGCATATACCCTGAGAAAACCATAATTCAAAATGAGTCATGTACCACAATGTTCATTGCAGCTCTATTTACAATAGCCAGGACAGGGAAGCAACCTAAGTGTCTAGCGACAGACAAATGGATAAAGATGATGTGACACATATATACAATGGAATATTACCCAGCCATAAAAAGAAACGAAATTGAGTTATTTGTAGTGAGGTGGATGGACCTAGAGTCTGTCATACAGAGTGAAGTAAGTCAGAAAGAGAAAAACAAATACTGTATGCTAACACATATATATGGAATCTAAAAAAGAAATGGTTATGAAGAACCTAGGGGCAGGACAGGAATAAAGATGCAGACATGGAGAATGGACTTGAGGACACGGGGTGGGGAAGGGTAAGCTGAGACAGAGTGAGAGAGTGGCATGAACATATATACACTACCAAATGTAAAATAGATAGGTAGTGGGAAGCAGCCACATACAACAGGAAGTTCAGCTCGGTGCTTTGTGACCACCTAGAGGGGTGGGATAGGGAGGGTGGGAGGTAGATGGAACAGCCAGGGAATATGGGGATATATGTGTACATATAGCTGATTCACTTTGTTTTACAGAAGACTCTAACACAACATTGTAAAGCCATTAAACTCCAATAAAGATGTTGATAATTAATAAATAAAATAAATAAATCTCCCCAATTAAAAGAAAAAAAAATGATTCTGAGTATAAAATGCCTATGCTTTCATGTTGTTTTGTCCTGCAGCGTTACTTTTCAATCCTTGAGGGTAGTCGAGCATAAATTATATTCCATAAAATACTATGGATATTCAAGAATGCACCATGACGTAAGAGCCAGGTTTTTACCTTTCCCTGACACCATGATGGATATTCTCCTCTTGCCTCTCCAGATGCATTCTTCATATTCTCCACGTGCTCTGTGTCTCAGACTCTGCACCGTATTGAATGTATCAATGACTTCCCCTGCCCTCTGGAAGAATATCAGAGTCAAGGAAGAGAATACAGCCAGGGTATGTATTCTCCATTCCCCTAGAGCCATATTGCTATTGATCAACATTGGTTGGCTGCATCCAGTGTCTGAAGTGCACAGCTCTTGGACCTTCCATCAGTTATCCTTTCCATACAGTTACTTTTTCTTATTTCCAAAAGCTATTATTTCCTTGGCTACTCCGACCTAGGGCTGCTAATATTTTACCATTGTTTTTAGTTCTGGGAATAGCAGCATCCTGTATTGGTCAAACCAGCCACCGTTTGAAAATGTCTCTTTATTGAAGGCTCCTTAATTGCTGTATTTGAATGTGCCTTCTTTTCCTGCCAGAACACTGGTGCAGTTCCAAATGATTTAAATATTTATAGACTGTTGTTGGAGGATAAAAGGAGAGAAATAATCTAGGTGTAAATGTATTTTGGAAGACATTGCTCAAATAAATCCAGGCTCTTCCTTTGTGCTGAGTTTAATTCCACCCTGGAATTGGCCTGCTCTGTTTGCTGAATTACCTGCAGGGCACTGAATGGTGATCGAGGCACGAAACATATTGATTAAATAGTGTTGGTTGGTAGCCATAGGTCTATGGAGTTTGGAGATGGTTTGTATCAGCTTGTCAGCATTCTTCTATTGATAACAGTGAGATTGATGATTTGCACCTGGTATCTGTGAGGTTTCTGGGACAATTTGCAGTTGGGTCTGATTAGGTAGAATATGCTTACATGACCATCAGAAACCTCAAGGGAGTCCCCATTTGGGGTTCTGTTTCTGAGGTATTTTGTATACATATAAGGGTCCTGATCTGAGAGGGAAAATCTGTTTGATAAACCCTACAGAAGCAGGGCAATTGTGGCTCCCACCTGGCTTCTTTGGACACTTTCCTATGAGGCATCCTTCATCTGTGATACATATCCTTACTTTAATGCTGTCATCATATTGTATCTTTTCCTGCAATAGACTATGAGTATGTAAGTATTTTTTATTTTGGGTCATATGATTCTTCTTTATCAATCAAACCTTTCTAACTGACACTGTTAATGTAGCCTTGCTTTCTTCATGTTGCCTGAGAAGTTGGCACACCTCATTGCATTTATGGCATCCAGCATAGTTCAGAAGTCATAGGATAGAAACGCTAGCAAGAGCCCTTTAGTCAGAGGGGCCTGAGAAAGTTTTGTTAGGTTTTTATGTACCAGTATGAGTAACATTATGTTTCAGTTGTGCCCAAGAAAGGTGTGGACATGGTGTTGACAACCAGGTTTAGAGAAGTCTTGTGACTGGGAGAAGGAGGCCTCAGCAACACTTTATATGGTCTGGCTCTGTGAGACTTGGTGAGGATGGAGATGACTCAACATATGCCAGTGGGGTGAGGTGACTGTACCCAAAGAACTTATAATCTCACCCTCCAAGTAGGTTACTACCTAAGCCCCAGATCATAGAATTCACTATGGGATGAAAGAGACCTGTTTTGACGGGAAACACATAATGGGTTGCGATTTTCATTACTGATTGAATAATGTTTCTCTATCATGTAATGTAATAAAGCTCATTTATAAATTAAGTTCTTTAATAGAAAAGTGAAGTTACATTTGTAATACCTGAGGTTATAGCCTGAGATTGATATCCATTTAGAATACTGACTTTTTTCCCCAGGCCACACAGAACACTCATAAATTAACAGCCTCCAGAGAATCTTACCCAGTACACCATATTTAACAAATATTTATTGAATATGTGGTAGGAAATGAATAATATTATGAACAAAATCCAAAAAGAGTCTTGTTGAAAATAACATGACAATCAAATCATTACAAATAAATGTATAATTTATTACTTAATAAATCTTCTGAATTATGAATACAAAGGACATGGTCCTAGGTATCTGTTTAAAGCATGGTCCAAGTATTGGAGGGGTGGGCCAATGAAGCTGTCTCTGCTGAAAAGACATTCATGTTAAAGTGTGAAAGGTCAAAAGAAGATAAATAGGCAAGTTTGAATGTACTAAGGCAGGAAGGATATCTGCGAACGAAAAACATTAAATATACAATAAGGTAATAGATGAGTGTTCCCAAATATCTCTGAAAAGAAATCCTGATACTGTCTCACCTGCAACTGAGAATCTCTACACTGAGGGTGTGTATGGGTGTGTGTGTATGTATTTGTGTGTGTGTAAATGTGTGTTTCAAAAACAACTGCAATTACAATATAGTTTCTTAACAAGAGTGGAAGAGGCTGTTTTTTTTAAACTTTGACTTTAGCCAAATGTTATAACTTAAATCATACTAGAAAATGGTAAACTGCAGAGCTCATGCTCATCTAGAATGGAGAGTTATTAATAATAGCACTGTTGAATAATCAACCCAGGCTTAGGATGATACCAAGTATGATGTGCTAAAAATGGTGCTAAAAACTACAACCGCGCAGGGAGGTGATTAACATCATGTCCCTTCTTTAATGATGAGGAAGCCAAATCTAATAAAGTTAACTCTTTAATATTCATCCAGTTTTTGAAAGTATTGATCTTCCACAATGAAACATATGATACCCATATGCATATTTATATTTATTGTGCTGTGTAAGTCTGAGATAGGAGCATTTATTTACTTTTACTAAACAGGGTAAGGAGTGAGTCTGTGTGGTATCCATGTTGTTTCTTCTCAGTGTGCAAATGCTGCTTTCTCCTTTTGTAAGAGGAACCTGATTGATGCACGTATGCTTCCTCGAGATCTCAACCCATGTGTTTCAAGGGAAACTGATTGATGTGTTCAAAACAGTCTAATCTAATCCTGGTAAACGCATTCCCCCTGGCAAGTATCTGACATACAAAAGGGCAGGCCTAAGCAAATTTGGTCAGTTAACCTGAGAAGAATTTGATACAGGCTTCATGGAAAGAAGCTTCCTTACCATTAAAATGCAACCTGAGGAAGACAGGCTCCCTCGCTCACAACTATGCATGAGCAAGCATAGCCCAAATAGCTGCTGTAGTTATGAAGGGTCCAGTCTCAGGATGTAGCAAACATGTTGGGGGCAGAGCAAAGCCAGGATTTTAGCAAAACAATTTGTCCTTGCTTTAATCATCTACCTGCCTTCTCTTTAAGACTCTGTAAATTAACGAGTGTATATGTGTATGTGTGTGTGTGTGTGTGTGTGTGTGTGTGTGTGTGTGTGTGTTTTAAGTCAATTTAAGTTTTAATTTACTTCATTTATTTAACTAACTTACTAATAATGCAGGCAATGTCAAAAGTTAAAGAAACAGTATTTGGAAGAGAGTTTTCAAGCACACAGGAAAGGAAAAGGGATTTTAGGAAGATGAAAAGGATGGAAAGGAAAGAAAAGCATGGCAAGTGGCCTGGGACCAAAGGAGTTTCAGTATGATTAAAGCAGAAGTTAAAATTAGGATAGAGATATGTTAAAATTTAGAAAAATAGAAATAAAGTAGAAAAAAATACAAAAATATCAAACTGCTGCTTGGTTAGGGAATTCTAAGGAAAAGCATTTACAAATGCAAATATACATGTACTTTAATAACTATGTACATTTAAAGAGCAAGGAATAGAATAAAATCTAAAGAGTTATAGCAGTTATGAAAATAAAAAGGGAAATATGCATAAATTCCTATAAATAAACACAACACTAAATATTTTATGAGGATGGATATATACCCAAGGACAGAATTGAAATATATTAGAGTGTGTGCCTTTGGTGAGAGAGGAAAATGATACTGGAGGTCAGGGATAATGTGGAGAAGAATATCTCTTTAGGATAGTGATTTTATTTCATTGGATATATACCCAGAATTGGAATTGTTGAATCATTTGATAGTCCTATCTTTAAATTTTTGAGGAAACTCCATACTGTTTTCCATATGGCTGTACCAACTTACATTGCCACCAATGGAGTACAAAAGTTCCTTTTTTTCACATCATCACCAATACTTTTTTTTTTTTTCACTTTTTGAAAATGACTGTCTACCAGGTGTAAGGTGATATCTCAATGTGGTTCTGATTTGCATTTCTCTGAAATACTAGCATGTTGAGCATCTTTTCATATACCTGTTGGCCATTTGTATGTGTTTTGAAAAATGTCTATTTAGGTTCTTGCTGAATTTTTAAGCAGATTGCATTTTTTTTTTTTTTTTTTTTTTTTTTTTTTGCTGTTGAGTAAATGTGTTCCTTATATATTTTGGATATTAACCCCTTATCTGATATATGGTTTGAAAATATTGTCTCCCATACCATAGGTTGCCTCTTCATTTTGTTGATTGCTTCATTTTGTTGATTTGCTTCTTTTTCTGTAGGAAATATGACAATACTTGTGCTTTCATAGTAAAGGTTATTCTCTGAATTTAACAAGGCATTATTAAATATAAATCAACTTTACACTTTTTCAGAAGATGAAAATATGACAAAGTATTTTGTCCTATTAATCTAAAGAATGGAAAGATGTGGAACTTCATTCAGAACAGACTGAATTTGGGGGGAGAAACAAACATGTAAAATAAATAATTCAAATACAGTTCTCTAAATGATATATTAAAAGCAGGTACAAAATGCTGAGAGATGATATAGGAGATAAGAGTTAATAAATGTGCTCATGTATATACATGTTCTTTCATAGGTTCAATTTCTTTCCAAGTTTAATTCTTCCTTAGAATGTGGTGAGTTGTAATCATCAGATCAAATTATTCCCAGTGTCCAAGCAGTTTCATTCATAACAACTCTCAATAGGTCATAAAGGTAATTTTGAAATTTAGAATTGGCTTACTATTTTATAATAAAATAACCTAAAATGTGTATAAAGCACATTATATATTATAGAATCTATAATTTTAGTCAATTACTATATTTAGTTGTCGACTTTAGTATTTTCAGAAGGAAGGGAAAGAAGTAAAGAAGTTGTAGTGGTGGTGGTAGTGAGGGTATTATCATTGTATCTTACAACAAACACAAATCCTAGACATATACCATCTCGGGAAAGCAAAACTATGTTCTGTCCATGTTTGCAGTTTTCAGTCTAATGTTTCTCAACTTCAGTGCCTTTGCTTAAAATCTTTTATCTCCCCTTTCTTGTCCCCATATCTATGTATTCGAGTTTTACTTATTTGTCAAGGCCTATTTCTCCTACAAGGCTTGCTAGATTGTACAAGTTAAAATTAATTCCTCCTTTATAGCATTTTTAAATCCCAAGTGTGTATTAATACTATTAATTATAATCTGCAATGTGTTTTTTTAGGGATCTTATCACATTCATCTTTGTAGTGCCCTATGGCCAACATGAGTCACAAATGTTCACTATAAATGGCTGTGACTAGTTTCAAGAATTCATTTTGCCTATGGTAAGAGATAATGACAAATTGTGATTAGATTTCAGATAGATTGCAAAAATATTTAAAAATAGAAATCAAATTAAATCAACCTCAGGTAGCATGACATAATGTGTAAAATAACATGGCTTTGGAACCATAGACCTTTACATTATACACCTAGCTCACTAACTTATTTCTGTTATATAGGCCAAGCTATTACCCTTGAACTGTAGTGCCCTTCTTATTTGTATAATAGGGATAATATTATACAAATAACATTACATAATATTACATAACATTCACAGTAGGACTCATAATTATAAATCATAAATGTGAATACCTGGAATAGCATCTCTTACAAATGCTCAAAAATTGGTGGCTAGTACCAGGAGAAGTAATCACAGTCAGTATTATCGGTCATCTAAAGACTGGCTAGACGAAAGCACCAATAAGTCTATCATATTGAAATTAAGATAACTATCAATCTGGTTAAGTCATCAACACAAGATATTTGTGGTAGTGTACTTATAAATCTAAATTAAGTGTCTGATAGAGCTTATGATAATGTTTGTAAAACATTAGATCCTACCAGTACAGAAAAAGCTGCAAATAATAGACAGGTATAGCTCGATCAGATGTTTTGTGGTTTTAAGGTAATGAAAACGTTAAAATATGTAATCACAGTTGATATGAAGATGTATGCTATTAACTGACAATATGAGCTTGTTTCTCTTAATTGATAGAGCTAAAGTACTTAATTATTTGGAAGCTACCCATGTTGCTTTGTATAACTGGAAATGCAATTGTATAAATATCCCAAATATCAGATACATGAATATATGTATCCACCTCTTTGAGTTCTACCTTATTTCTTTATTTGGGAAAAATTGTTTTATATCTCTATGGGGGGTGTGTGTGTGTGTGTGTGTGTGAAAGAGAGAGAGAGAGAAAAGAAAGGAGAGAATGAGAAAGTGTACCAGGTAGAAATAATTTTTTAAAATAATGAAATAAAATAAAATGAATTGCAGAGACTACATCAAAAAGTTATCACTAAGAAATAGAATATTAATACTAATGGAAAACAACTGTTGTCTTTCCCTGAGATTTACATTTTGGGGGGACTTTTATAAAATATTCTCATAGGAATAGTTCTCAAAACATAATGCATACTTACTTAAAAACTACATAAGTATACTTAAAAATGCTCTGATTTTCAGAACTCATTTCTAAAGTAGTTTTTTTCTAAAAGCTCCTCTTGTGCTGTCAGAATGGAGTTAGCATTCACACTCTTACATTCAATTCCTCGGAAGCATAAATCCTTCCAAATGCAAGAGGATCCTAAAAATAGTCACTGGCCAGTAAGGATTAATCAGACTCTGCTCACGTTATCGTTATTTATATACCATTTTCCCAACTGAGCATCCCTACTGCCATAATGACCTGAACGCATGCAGTGCTCAGCTGCCAGAGGAGAGCTTACAAGCGGATTTTATTGCTTTAGACACAGTGAACAAAACAAGAGCCCATCAGCACAGGAACATTAGGATGCCAGAAGTCTGTTCCAATCATTTGCAGTAGGAAATCACTCTACAGTATGAATATATATCAAACCTGTGTATCTTTTTTCAAAGTCTATAACACCCAATAAACTATACCTTAGCAGCAGTGATAAATGCATTCCCCTGAATTGCAAATGATATTTCTTTTTTTAAATTGAAGTATAGTTGATGTACAATGTTGTGTTAGTTTTGTAAATGGTATCTTAAGTTTATATTTAAGTTAAATTATCATCATTCCCCACAAATAGTTTTATAGTTAACCTCTTTGCCTTTTGGCACCACTGAAATTTGGGGGCATATTGAATTATCTTCTACCAAATAAAAACAATAACCTTCATGTCTATGATACAGAATAGTACTTTTATTTTTTGGGTTGGGTTCCAGACCTTGTATAGAGTATTCCTATTCATATACCATAGTAATTTAATTTGTGTTCACTGTGAGTCATTGAATTAGACAGTTATTTATATCTTATTCGTCTGTCCTGGAAAAATAAAAGGGTTTTTAAGTATGTATCTGTAGTATATCCATTCTAGAAGTCAAAGTAAAGATGGGATAATTATCTCTACTTCACAGATTTACATCTAAAGATTTTCCTCTTAGAAATTTCACATATGCCAATTTATAGTCAATATGGTTGATGATTTCATATTGTGAGACCCTTATCTTATGCAAAATATAACATATGTTTAATTCCATACCATACTAGGAGGCTGACAGAATTAGAAACTGTCAAAAAAAGTATCACTGTAAGCAATTATTTTGATATCACTATGTATTTTCTTACAACATAAAATCTCAGATTGGCAAAATCTAAAATACTTATTCATTGTCATAGCTTCATTGTAGATAATGAAACTATAATGAAATTTTAGTTATTTTGAATCAAACAGAACACCTATTGTGTTTAATTTTATGTTGATGACCAGCAAGAATCAAAAGCTTTCAATTTTTTTTTTTTTTTGCGGTACGCGGGCCTCTCACTTTTGTGGCCTCTCCCATTGCGGAGCACAGGCTGCGGACGCGCGGGCTCAGCGGCCATGGCCCATGGGCCCAGCCGCTCCGCGGCATGTAGGATTTTCCCGGACCGGGGCACGAACCCGCATCCCCTGCATCGGCAGGTGGACTCTCAACCACTGAACCACCAGGGAAGCCCAAAAGCTTTCAAATATTTGACAAAGCAATTGCAAATGAGTAAATCAAAAAATAAATTTTAAAAAGTCAACTTTCTTCCATTTTTGCATTGTCATAATGATAAACACCTCTATATATTTAATTCATGAAATTTGTCATTGTTCATAGCTTTTTTTCAGATAATAATGTGAAGTTGTTTACGTGAGCCTATTACCATAACTTGATCAATTTACTAATACAAATGCAAATAGTCTCGTTTCTATCTTAATTATTTAATATTAAGTTGCAAGAAATAACTGATAGAAATAAATATGGTGAATGGTATGGTCTGTTCAAATGCTTGTTTTCCTAATAAGGAGTGCAGCTCAAATAAACACATTGAGCATAAATCTGAGCGGTTGCAAATGATAGAGCAATACCTAATTGAGAAATACTCTGAGTCATGAATTGTCAGAGCATCTAGCAGAGTTCATGGCTTATAGCATGTGCTTAATAAAATATTCTTGCTGAATTAACAGTAAATTATAAACTAATGTTTAGAACACATTAGAGAAAATACTACATAAATACATTTAAGGGTCTTATGGACTTGTTGAATCAATTATAATACTGGAATTCTTTATAATTAATTAACATTTAAATATGTAAGTATGTTTTGTTTTACCTTGGACTTTTTTTTTTTTTTTTTTTTTTTTTTTTTGCGGTACGTGGGCCTCTCACTGTTGCGGCCTCTCCCGCTGCAGAGCACAGGCTCTGGACGCGCAGGCTCAGCAGCCATGGCTCACGGGCCCAGCCGCTCCGCGGCATGTGGGATCTTCCCGGACCGGGGCACGAACCCGTGTCCCCTGCATTGACAGGCGGACTCTCAACCACTGCGCCACCAGGGAAGCCCTTACCTTGGACTTTTAATAGAATTAAACCAATTTAAAATAGTTCAAAATAATTTAGAGTAAAATAATATTTGGAAGTATTCTCTTAGGCAACAAAATTGTACTGTACTAGATGCAGAGATGGAAGTGATGGTGTGATTTAGGGAATGGGCAACGAATGTCAGGCAAAGTGAAGTTTGGGTGGAGGGTGCCCAAATCAATAGAATTAAAGGGCCAAAGAATAAAATCATTTGTAAAACCCAATACGCAATTGATTTTAACATTCAGTTTAGAAGACGGTGTGACCACAGGTAGATGATAGTTAAATACATTTTCTCACTGTGATCTTGTGTCATGTTGACCAGGACTCTTGGGCATTTCTCTTTTAAAAATCTTGGGTGATCCAGGAGAAAGACCTGAATAGCCTATCATTGCAGAAAATATCAAATGTTAATTGGATAAATAACAGAGTAGCTATAGTTTAAAAACAGATTAATGATTTTGTCTAAAAAAATAAGATGAACTATTGTATGCAAAACCCCTAATGGAAAAAAATGGTGAAACGATTATATAATCTGTAGGAACTATAAAACAGAGATATTCTCCTGTGGAAACATTAATGAATGTCATTTTGCCATCAGCGTTTAGTGAGTGATAGGTAAAAGAGATAGAATGAAATTATAAAAAATATTAAATTAATCCAAAGAGGTTAGAAAAAAGAGGAAAAAGGAACTAAAGCATATGGGTTAAATACAAAGGAAATGTCAAAAGAACAGACCTAAACTGAAAACTATAACATATACATAATAACGTTAAATATAGAGTATCCAAACACCCCAATAAATGGCAGAAATTGTCAGATTGGAGCAAAAAGGAAGGCACGACTCTATGCTACCTACTAGAAACCTACTTTAAATATAAATAAACAAATAGATTAAAAGTAAAAGGATACAAAGTGACACATGCTCACACTAATTGAAAGAAAAAGTTGGAGTGACTACATTAATATCAAACAAAGTAGGTTTCAGATTATAAAATAATGACAGAAGCACTAAAGAATCTTATTTCATAATGTTAAAGTATGCAATTTATCAAAAATTATCTTCCTGAATGTATTCTATATACATAATGGAAATTAACCATAAATAACTTGAATGCATACCTTGCCTCATATATAAATTCAAATGGAAATTCAAAATGGATCATAGACATAAGTCTATACCTAAAAGTATAGAACTCCAACAATAAAATGAGAAAATATCTATTACTTTCAGTGACCAAGATTTTTTAGTTTCAGTACCAAAAACACAATCCAAAATAGGAAAAAATTATAAATTTTGAATTTCATCATTGAAAGACATTTTTGATTTTAAATGATGTCAAATGAAAGAAAAGACAGATAATATTCATAGAATGATAGAAAATATTCATAGAATGATAGGAAATATCATTCATAGAATGATAGAAACTTTGATCCATTATATACAAAATTTCTGAAAAAATCAGTAAAGGAAGCAGAAAGCTCAAAAATGAGAAAAGTATTTGATATTTAGATGTCAAATGATATCCTATTTGGATGTCAAGTGATATTTGGGTCTCATAAAAGCTCTTTCAGAGATGCTCTACAAATTCTTGTTAGGATAATGTAAAATAAAGCCACAATAGGATACACGAAAACACCTATTAGAATATTTATAATTAAACGGATTGACCATATTAAGTAATGGTTGAGAATTGGAGAAACTGCTCCAATTGGAGAATAAGCTCCATGCTTATAAAATGGTGGTAGGAAATGTAAAATTACACACTTTGGAAAATAGTTTGTAGTTTCTTTAAAAGTCCATTATTGTCCACACAAAAAACTGCTCAAGGGTGTTTATAGCAGTTTTATTCATAATTGCCCAAACTTGGAAGCAACCAAATGCCATTCAGTAAGTAGGTAAAGAGATAGCCTGTGGAATATCCATAAAATGGAATATTATTAAGCAATAAAACGGAATGAGCTATAAAGCATGAAATGACGTGGAGGAAATTTAAATGCATAAAATAAGCCTATCTGAATATGCTACATACTGTGTCATTCCAACACTGTGACATTCTGGAAAAGGCAAATCTATGGAGACAGTAAAAAGATCAGTGGTTACCAGGGATTAGGGGGAGAGAGAGATGAAGAAGTGGAGCACAGAGGATTTTTAGGGCAGTGAAAATACTCTGTATGATTCTATAATGGTGGGTATATGTCATTATACATTTGTCCAAATCTATAGAATGTGCAACACTAAGAGTGAACCCGAATGTAAACTAAAGGCTTTGGGTGAAAAAGATATGTCAATGTAGATTCGTCAGTTGTAACAAATGTACTGCTTTGGTGGCGACTCTTGGTAACAGGAAAGGCTATGTTTGTTTGGGGGCGGGAAGTATACGGGAAATCTCTGTACTTTCTACTCAGTTTTGCTGTGAACGTAAAATTGCTCTAAATATTAAAAAAAAAAAACACTTTTGCATGTTTTCCTGCCTAAAAAGGCTGACTGAAAAAAAATTTAAAGCCAATGTTAGTGGTAAAATAAATAGATCAGCAATTATCTTTGGAAATTGTCCTGCTTCTCTGTAACCTTGGGCAAGTCACTTACTCTTCTCAGATATTGAGGTTTTGTTTTTTTAGTTTTTTTCCCTTTGTAAAATGAGGGCTTAGGAATCTGTGATCATCAAGAGTTGTTCTTGCTTTAAATTCTAGGACCCCATGGTCTTGTCTCTTTTTGTAATGTTTCCCTTGCTCATCTGATTCATAACAGATGATAATTCCTATGAAAGCAAGCAGGCATAAAGCTGACTCCTCATTTTAAATCTAAGATTAAAACACGACTAGACACTGAAAAAGAAAGTCAGTCACTGATCTGCTATTAGACCTAGCCATTCCATTTCTAGATATTTATTTATCTGGAAAAATGAAAGCTTCTATCTACGCAAAGACTTTTGCACAGATGTTTATAGAAGCCTATTTTTCTGTTATAGCCCCAAACTGGAAACAACTCAAATAGCCATAAGTAGTATGACAGATAAACAAATTGTGGCAAATCTGACAGATGAATTATACTGTTTGGCAATATAGAGGAGGAGACTGTTAATACAACAGTATGGATGAAGCTCAAAACAATTACGGTGAGTGAAAGAATCCAGATGAAAAGAATGTATATTATAGGATTGCATTTATATAAAATCTTATACATGCAATCTAATGTATATTAACAGAAAGCAGACCACTGACTACAAGAGGTCAACTGTGGAAAAGGGCAGGAAGGAAGGATTAAAATAAGGCATGAGGAACCTTTTGGGGGTGATGGATATGTTTATTATCTTGATTGAGGTGATAGTTCACAGTTATATGCATATGTCAAAACATCAAATTTTACACTTTTTCCATGTGGACTTTATAGTATGTCAGTTTTACATCAATAAAGCTGTTACAAAGTAAGTGTAATTCATTCCAAAAGAAAGAAAGCTGAGATAATTCATTACAACAAATATATTTCTGAGGGTTGAACTACTGGCTAACGCATGGCATAAAAATGAGTAATTTAAATTGGAAGAATCAGTGAAACTCCTGAATAATAAATTATGAGAAGATATAGAAGTCAAAGAAATGTGCTACTGATAAAAAATAGAGCCAACAACTTAGTGGAATTCATAGCCCCAAATAATCCTTAATATACTTACTATGCATATAAACTTAATTTATGA